ACGTCAGTAAAAAGTATGAAGGAGCAGCCTGTTAAAGCAAATGTCCAAACATGGAGTTACACTGCTGAGAGAGTGAAGACCTCATTATTCTATAAGCTATTAGTACATTAGCTTCCATTTAACGTTGCCATTTAACGGGTGTGTGTGATTTAGCAAAGGCAAACCAGCTGATGTATAGCTTGGATGTAGCTTCCATATAGCTTTGACACTGGTAAACTACAATCTAGTCCAGAAGTTGTAGAGTTAAGCACATCCAAGGATGCCTGCTTTACCTGAAAACAACAAAAACAGTGGACTTCTTATAATTTGTGCTTGTTCTGGTTTCGGTCAGTCTGTTATTACCGAAAGTGAAGAAGGGACTTCATGTTTCTGGCACTCAGGGATGCTAACATGCACAGAGAAATGTTTCATCTTTGAAATGAATCATTGAGGAAGGACCTTCATTTCTTTACAGACTCAGTCCCATCATGTCCAAAAAAAAGATAAAGATATATTTCTCTTTTTTAGAAATATATCTGCCACTCGAATAATCAAACACGTAAAGTAAAGTGGCTGTAATGATCAGCCAATGAAGAGAGCAAAAGATAAACTGAAAATTACTATATCTAAGAACACACAGTCACTGGACATTTTATTAAGAGCACCCTGCTAGGGCTTGATTGGATGGGATTGTTTGTGGTAAAGAGTCAACAATGTGCTGAAAACATTCCTCACAGATGATGGCATCATGAGGTTGTGCTGATCAACTGCCTGTAAGTGCATGTCGGCTGTGCATCCATGATATGAATCTTTGTCACATCCCAAAAGTGATGCGTGGTGACTGTGGAAGCCATTGGAGTGCAGTAAGCTAATCGTCACGTTCAAGCAACCAGTTTGAGATTTTCTGAGCTTTGCCACACGGTGCATTATCCTGCTGGAAGTAGCCATCAACAGATAGGAACACTGTAGTCAGAAAGGGATTGATGTGGCCGGCAACAACACTCAGGATGTAGTGTTTAAACAATGCTTGGCTGGTAGTGTGCCAAGAAAATATCGCCCACACATTACACCACTGCCACCAGCTTAAACCGCTGGTGTATGGTAAGATTGATCCATGTTGTGACCCCACCGTTTCTGCATACCTTTACTGTAATTAGTGGGTATTTGAGTTACTCTTGTGTTCCTATCAGCTCGAATCATTCTCCTTTGACCTCTGATATATCAACAAGCCATTTTCGTGCAGAGAACTGCTACTCGCTGGGCAGTTTCCCTTTTTTCAGACTATTCTCTCTAAACTCCAGAGATGGATGTGTGGGAAAATCCCAGTTTCTTAAATACTCAGACCAGCCCCTCTGACAGCCATGCTGCAGTCAACGTCACTGAAGTCATCTCATCCCCACTCTGATGCTGGGTTTAAACTTCAGCAGGTCGTCTTGACTATGTCTATGTGTCTAAATCTTTTGAGAAGCTGCCATGGGATTGGCTGATTAGATATTTGCATTGACAAGCAACTGAACAGGTATACCTGTTGACCTGGGTGTTGGCTGTATTTTTAGCGGGATGGCTCTGTTCTGGGATACTGGGTTCTGTTGTATATGCAAAGTCTGAGGTGGACAGAACGACAGCCAGGAGACAGCACTGAATAAGGTAGACGTCAGCGATGACAATCATGATACTGATTAAGACACAAAAAACATGAAAAGGAGGAGATGGGTTGGAGGTGGGTTGCACAGGGGCTTGCAGCTGCACCAATTTTCAAGCAAAAAAGATATAGGTTCATCTTTTTTTCTATGTTATAACTACATTTGATTAATCAGACATACAGTACATAGTTGATAAGCTGATGATGGAAATAAGTGTTGTTTGTATCCTTAGGCTAAGTAACCTGGTCTTCGAGTGAGAGCTTAATGTACTATATACTTTGGAGTACCTCTCCAAATGCAGCTTGTTTACAAAAACGTTGTTACTATGTGCCAACTTGGTTCCTGGAGCCCCAGATTTGTCTTTACTAGAGTAATCTTTATCTTCCCAATCTTAAAGGGAAAGAGAAAAAGAGTAACCACAAAATCATACAGTCACAATTTCTATTTTAAAGGGTGGACCGTAATTAAAGACAACAAGTCTGGCAACTGTCTGACTGGAAGCGGTCCCACGCTGTGTTTGGGAGGGCTTTCTTTCTAAACATGGCCCCAAAAAATACCAATCAGTTATGAAGGCAGGCCGCAGGAATTTTTCATGATTAGGTGCCTGACTTCCACTCTCAGCCACATTAGAGGTCATAAAAAACATCTTGCAAAACATTATGCACCACATTATAAGTACACGGTCTAAAATGAAGTCTGCCTGCAAATTGCATTTCGCATGTGGCATTTATCCTGACTCCTGAGTACAGGAGGTCCAGTGTCCACAGCCCAGCTTTGCTTTCTGGGGTTGTCAGTAACCACGTCAAATACAGCGGCTCACGTCTGAATCACCTTTATATTGCAGCCTTTAATCTGAATAGCAACACTTAATATATCTGTAGGCTGTGTCAAGACAAGAGAGATGTAAACAAAGATATAGATCTGAAAATGCTTCGATGTTTTGCTGTCAGTTATGTAGAAGAAGATTAGATGTCGAGATTTTATGTCACATCATTTATTTTAACCTCTTATCTTGATCAGTAGATTAAGGAAACGCAACCAGAGCCGTTACACTGAAAAGGAAGTTTTTTCAAAACTACAGTGTTTGGGAAGAAAGTCCCGCTCCTGGTAACGCACTCATTCTGGCACCTTCTCATTAAAACTGTCTTGGCACAACAGACAGCCATGTGCAGTAAATTAGAAGCAGCCAGACAGCGTGCTGCGAAAACACTTTGATTCTAATCCTCATCTGTGTGACGGAGAAGGAGGCCTGCTGTCTGGAGTACGAGATGGATCGGGTGGACGCGAACACAAAATACAACTTAAATGTGTTGCACAGAAAGGAAGGACGAACTTTACCTTCTTTTCATAACTTTTGTGTTTTGGCAAGAAATTTCCTGCCACTCAGTTCTGTTGTGCTTTTACAGTAAACAAATAATCTACTTTTACTAGAAACTGAAAACACTGCTGGATCACTACTCCAATCCAGGAAGTGAAGACTTTACTAGTCAAACTGAGACTTGACTTTTTTCTTTGTTGCAGGATTGTGAGGCTTGTAACCATGGTAACTATCCTTTTACCTTGTGAAAATGTAAAATTTCACTGCATACTCCACGGAGCCCAAAGGACCAATATTAATAAATTCAAAGCGACTTAACAAATGCTCATGCAAAGGGTAAGTACACATGAGAGGTAGAGCGGAGAAAACTTTCTGGTTTTACAAAGTACAACAAATCCTTGATTTCAGAAGTTTCCCCAGTAACAGCACCTTTCTTCACAGTGTGACACTACCCTCTGATGGAGCTTATATCAGAACTGGTTCCCCAACATTAGATTAACTGTGGAAAATCCCAGCAGTGATTTGTTAAAATGGGTGAATTAAGTTTACTACACGTTGAAAAAAATCCATCTCTTCAGCGCAAGTATCTTACTCTGCAACAAGAAAACAAGCAAAGTCCGAAAATAGTGAAATCCAAACTAATTCCCAAAATAGCTCCAGGCACGCTACATTCTTCCAGTTTGTTGTTGTCACAATGATTTGTTTTATTAAAATTTTTTTGTCTTAATAATGTTTCAAGTAGACTTACAACACTCAATACAAGATTTGAGGAAACACTGGACATAAATGATAAAAAAGACATACAGATCACAGGTACCAAAATCACCATGCCAACACGGCCATGATGGCAGATGATACCAAAGGTATATTTTCACCCTCTTAGTTTAGAAGGTTAACAAGTCGAAATACAGACTGTAGTCGAGGCTAATGGGCATGGCATCAGGTTTGCAGGCATGAATGAATGAAAACTGAGAAGACGATGGATTATCAAAGGTGCCAGTTGGTACAAAGTTTCACCATACAACAAATGTTTAACTCAAAACCTCAAATTTCAACTTTAGAGCGCAGCTGCAGAAGTCACAAACCTCTGTAACCATGCCGCTGTATCAAGACTAAAAGCTGCTCCCAGGGAATCAACACGGGAATGTTAATACAGCAAAGATGAGCCGCTTTTCTAGTTTTTCTTTTTAAAGGTTTTTACAGAGAAAACGTACATCTTGCTTATTTACAGGTAGGCATCTGACCTAATTGTTCTTATGTGAATGTTCAAGATATTTGTACCTCCTGACTCCACCTTGTTTGAGAACTGTCACCTGACAGCACACCTGTCCGACCTGACTTTTATGTTTTCCGTGTCTCTTCTTGTGTGTCATGTTCTTTTTGGCTCTCTTGAGGCAAAATATGTCCTGATACTTAGGTGTGAGAGCTCGAGGTGAAAAACAAAAGGCACACCCGACTGTGCGCAAGCAGAGGAGTGGTTGACATAGCTTGAAACTGAGGCTTCGTCTTCTGCTGTTACCGCAAGGGTGTGACAGAATTTCCTTGTGATCAACAAGGAAATTCTGAGTATTTTTTATTTTAATATATTCTGCTTCATCTTTGTAAACTCCGTGGCATTTAAAAGACAGTTTGGGCTTCCACACAGTCACACCAAAGTCAAGGAACATGAGGGAAGAATGAGGATAAAAAACGAGTTGAGGTGAACAGCAGCCTTTAGAAACATCTGTCAAGCTTCAGTCCTTACGTGGCTATGATGAAGTTTGCAACTGCAAATTTATGTGTAAAGTGTGTTTGTAGGCCACTCCTATGTTATTTGTATGAAAGGCTCAGACAGTTTGGAGTGTAAACACTGCAACACTCCCATAAAAGATAAAAGAGCAGCATGGGCATGAAAACATGAAAGACTGCTGTCACTAAAGTGTGATCACACAATTTTATTTAACACCGCAAACTGAACAAAGCAGATGACACAAAACGTGAGAAGAAAACTGTATCTCGATAACTACACTCTAGACTCAGCAGAGACAATCCAAGGATGAACTATTCTGCCAAGCTTGGAAAAAACAAAATCCCAGTGAATGAACTCACCCTGTGTTTGAGATAGACCGGAAAACAGCTGCAATGTCGATCTCTACTGTTGTGTGTGTGTGTGTGTGTGTGTGTGTGTGTGTGTGTGTGTGTGTGTGTGTGTGTGTATCCCAGAAGAGCTGAAAGTTTAGCATCCGTGTAATCTTCCCAGGCGGTGCTGTTGAGAATGACTCAGCTCAGGAGGGAGATTTACAGGGCAGCAAAAGACTCCTCCTTCACTCTCGCTCACACACCCCTTATTTAAGTGGCTTTTAAAAAGTACTGATTCGCACAAACCGAGAGTTGCACACACACACGCACGCAAACAAAGACACCTTCAAATGAACTCTGTACCTTTAAGCTCACAGGAACTGCACCTTTAGACCTTAAAAGGTTCAAATCCATAGAAAGAGAACAGACACAAATGCCTGTCAGAGCAACATTTTTCCAGAAAAATAACAAATTTCGGAGAATAGAAATAAATGTAGTTTAAAGTTCTGGAATAATAAATTATCCTGCAATTCTCAGGTACACTGAAGGGTTTTCCAGCTTCCTCTCACTTGTGAAACCCATTTGTTACAATCACACAATGAAGCAAACAGCAGAAAGCGAAACAGGACCACTAGCAGAGGACAAAAGCCACAGCACTTCTTCCTCCATCAGCGTCTCTTATTAGTAAAGCACCTGATCAATGATTGACAGCCACCACAGAAAAAGCAGCTTAAACAGCTTCACTGCAGTTCTGTCATCCTCAAATCTAATCGAAGCCCCCAAAATAAATTTTTATTTAAATCAGCTCGTCCTCCTGAGCCCTGTTATTTATGCTAACATATAAAATGGTAAAAACTTTGACGCAACGACACGAACACAAACCAAAGCCTCCCGATTAATCGTGAAATATCAAAATGAGGCTACATTAAAATGAAGCAAGAGCATCACAAAAGGAATTATGGGAATAAACTAGATGTACCTTTTACAGAAGTCTCCACTGGGAAGTGCAACTCAGTCTTCTCCATGTTCTGCATCTAACGTGTGCTGCACAGCTGCTCCCTGGTGTCTATGTGGTGGAAAGGTCTTGGTCTGATCTACGTTGCTACGTATCAGCTTTGAACCATCACATGGTTTCAGATAAAAAAACCCAACAAACAACAACAACACAGGAAGCTTTAATTTAAGTCACGATGACACCTCTGACAGAAACAAGTCTTGAGGTCTTGCTTACTGCAACATGTAAACGCACTGCAGAGCAGCACTGCAGGGAGGGATGAGCATTAGTTTGTTCCTTCATTAATAAACTAGTTGGACCAGTATAAATTCAACTCCTGTTAAATTATCTGTCTTTACAAGACTGCAAACCACAACTCCCATCATGCTCACCTTACTTTGTTTGTTTTTTTTTAAACTTTTGTACGTTTTGTAGAAAACTGAGAAAAAAACAAAGTTGGTGGTTTTTTTTAATGAATGCTGTGACTACTCAGAAATATATATTTTTTATTAACAATTGAAAGTTTTCTCGCTTTAAATTTCCACCCTGATATGTTTTGTGATGTTTAACATGGAGTCCTGGTGATTTTTTGAGGTTTGCACAAATATTTCAGTGATAAATGCGACTGTATTTTTTATTTTAGCGCGACTTTCAATATAATTATTTTACTCAAGAACCTGTCTCATCCACTATCCATCCTGTCAGTCACGTATGCAAATCCCTCCAAGCAAGAAACAAAAGCATCCAGTGATGAGCCACAACAATAAAACTCCAAAAAACTTGTCTGTTGGGAACCTTTTGGTTCAGGCATTCGTGTGGATGTTACTTTGATACATACCGCCCACCTAAACATTTCTGCAGCAGAAACACATCTCCCCTTGTTATCACCATGACAAAGCTCCTCTGCACTGCAAAAAATGCGGCTTGAATGGCTGGAGGAAAATTACCTGAAGTTGTTACCTGGTCTTAAATTCCCCACATGCCAATCCAACGAGCCAGCACCTTGTTGAGAACAGGTCCTGTGTCTTAGGTCACAGCTGTTTTTGCAACACAACAGGACAACTTTCACTATATTAGGCTGATCAGTGTACAAATTGGAAGGAAACATCTCCTTTTGTTTACTTGGTTTCAAAGAGTCAGTGAGACAAGCATACCCTGGTTACTTAGTGCATGTAAACATCCTTTGTAAGGACAAAGGCGTTCTGCATGATCGTCATGGTTACATTTATTTGATGAAAAACTGAGCTGTGAAACGAAAGCTTTTGAGACAAAGTCACACAAACTGCTTCAAAGCCACAAACATACATGCACACATGTACGCACACACTCCAAATAGCACTACCTCAACCAGTCAGCTTGAGAGTGCGTTGTTGCTGTGCACGTTTGGCTCCACTTTTACAGACGAGGCTTTCAATGATCCAATCATGCTAACGCACACCGTGTGAGAGAACATGACAGACAGAATGACACGTAACAATTACAGCCAGTCCTGTGAGCTTGGAGTTGGGTGGGGGGCTTTCAACTGCCCGGACTTTCTTCAGATTAAGCTTGCATCATCCTCTAATCTGAGAGCCGTTGTGAGATTACCCCACGAGTCTGCTTCGAAAGACTAGATAATATAACAAAGAAGGAAAGAGACACGGGTGAAAACCCAGGTGCAAAAAGGAGAGGGACTTACAGGCGTGAACTAGAAAGAAGAGAAAACGAGGAAAATGAAGAATAGGAAGACACAGAGGGCCAGAGGTAAGCGCCCATTCATCAAAAGAAGCAGACCATGAGACACAAGCATGTTTGAGAGCGTGAGCGCACACACACACACACGAGTTTGATATAAAAATAGAGCAGCGACCCGCAGCGTTTTTCACACCCCTGCATAGCAGAGAGTCACAGGAAGGCGTGTTCATAGTGTCCTTCACAGTATCATCCTCTGTCCTCACTGTGCATGTTAACTGATTTTACTGAGATCCAGAAGGTCTGGCAAAGCTGAAAAATCCATGCATTCTATTGATTTTGAATGCAAATGTGTGGAAATCAGAGGTGTTGATTGAAAAGAGACGATGGGCATGTGAACATGGCAATGAAAATCAAGATGATGCACAAAGTGGACGAAAAATGGGAGACTAAGATATGAATAATAACACATCTAAAGAGTTTTTCAAAAAGTCTGCGTGCAAGCACTTGAGAGAAAGACTGTAAAGATAAATGGAGGTGATGCAACCTACCTATGGACTGTTCGATCTTCACCGCCACACAGGTCTGCTCTTCAGTGTTCTCCGACTGGAAACAGGTAGCTTTGCCCTTCCTCTCTACAACACAATATGCACAGAGTTCAAGATTTAGAATAAAAATAAGTTGACAGAATTTGTGTAGATTAAGAGGCTATTTTAAAGGTTGACCTGCATATCAGACAGAAGCTTTAAACAGTTTGAGGCTTCCCCAGATTTTATGTAAAAGGTCCACCAACTCAGATCAAACCCCGCCCCCAATAAACTTATACAATGAACAGGAGAGATTGTGAGATCTGAAGCACTGTTGTGGTAGCTGCATTTATCAAGATCTGGAGTACACTCATGTTTGTTTTGAGAATGAAAGGGAGTATATAAGCCCTTGGAGAGAGAAACCCTAATTAGTCTGTCTGTGATATGTAGGCCATCGTCAGCAGGGAGAGCAAACGCTCTTTCAAAACAGCCGTTTAATATGCACATAAAAGATTAAAGAGAAAATAGCTAGTCGTAAAAACAATGAAGACCTCGTGAGCGTTGTAAAGCCTCCAAACACACACACACACACACACACATAGATATAACTCTGCTACAGCAGAGTAGCACAAACACAAACCTATGCCCTCAGTCAGATGTAATCATCGCCTCTACAGGCACCCTGTTCTGTCACACCAACCTCCTCTTTCACTACATCATTAAATTTTCACTGTGGTCTTTCTGTCTGGCAGCTCCATGTTCAAAATCCACTGCCAAACATATCCACTAGCCTCCTCTGCACATCCAGACCAGCTAAGCCCCGCCTCCCTAACTTTGTCCAACCTGGGTTTTCCTCCCGATCGACTCGTTCCTAATCTTGCCTATCCAGGTAACTCTCAATGAAAATCGTGCAATATTCAACCCTCCAGCCACCTCCAGCTTCACCTATGTGTCAACATTAACCACACAGAAACGAAGCCAATCAGTCGGGTTTGTTGTTCCGCATTCTTTCGAGAAATGTTTTTGAGAAATACTAAAAAGAAAGCATCAGTGTGTATTTTGTAAACAGCACTACAGCGGAACAATACGACTGATTGAAAACGAGTCACGTACCATCAGACTGCAACAAACTGATAATGATTTTAAACATTTGGGAATTAAAAGAACTGCATGTTTGCTCAGAGGTTGTGGAGAAAACTGCATTTCCTTGAATGACACCACTGTTAAAATAAAGCTACAGAAGCACTAACATAATAACAACCTGGGGAAAAGTTATCCCTTTATTGAGCAGTATGGGTGTTAATATAGTATTTATAAAACTTGCCTGTTTAAAATGATTATCTCACCAATGTTTGTGGGCAAGATAATAAATCGGAGAATTTTTAAAGCAACTATCTGTCATTATAATATGGCTTGTTGTGCATTTAATTAATTCATTATCAGCTGCAATCATATTGTTAATGGATGCATCTTGCTAAGTAAGGCTTAGCACTCAACCCTTTTCGATTGTGGTCACTTCTGACCTGCGAGACTAAGAAGACAAAAGAAGGCAAAGAAGGCAATCTACACTTATGAACAGGTTATAGTTTTGCGGTAAATCATCTTCTATTTCATTTCAGTTGCAAAACTGGTGTTGACATCATCCTGCAATGTTTTCAGCCTGTCAGGAAACTACACAGATTAAAAAAAATAAAAGAAATCATATCCCTCCAAAATACATGACAGGGTAACATAATGAGTCCTCTTACTCAAGTGAATTGAATTGTATTACAACGTTCATGCCTCGCTTATCGTTTCTCAAACTCAATTCTGTACAAGCATTTAGTGCTGCGTCAGTCAGGATATACAACACAGCAGCGAGTGGACCGAGCTGACATAATGGAGCGTGGATAATGGTACGTAAACCAATAGTAGAGTAGCTCAATGGGGGGTCGTGCAAACGGTGGAAATGCAGATGACTGTGTGTGTGTGTGTGTGTGTGTGTGTGTGTGTGTGTGTGTGTGTGTGTGTGTGTGTGTGTGTGTGTGTGTGTGGTGTGGATAGAGAGTGAACGGGGGGTAATATCCTGGCGCATGATCTAAAGGAGGGCTTTCTCCACCCACCATGGACTCCTCATGACAGGCCTGCCTGCTCTTCACACAACACACACACACACACACACACACACACACACACACACACACACACACACACAACACACACACACCTTACTTAACAGTATACAAGTTAAACCCCAGTCGAGTTCCCTACTGAAAATATAACAAATGTAAGCAGCTTATGAAAAGCATTATGTACACATCTTCTCTACAGAGTCGGCCTATGGAGGCCCCTCCTCCGGCCAGCTCTTAGCCGTGTGACCAGAGTCACTGCGTGCCCATTGTTTCCTTAAGTGGGGGGATGTGTTCTGATGTCAATACTGAGAATAAACTCAACAGAGAAAATGCTTCACACTTTGGCGACTACACACAGCCACAAAGGTCAGAGAAATAGCTTTCTGAGATGTGGCTGATGACTGATGGAGGAAAGTGTACCAGCCCTTCTACTGACGTACTCATCATGCAACTGGCCTGACACTAAAGCTTCCCCCCCCTGTTCATTAACATCCTGTTGTTTTTGTTTTTATGTGATGATCTTTTTGTTAGAAGTCCGAGCATAACACAACTGATAACCTCAGAGACCCGGAGACAGCACAATCCACACACAAAGTGAGCACCGGCCAGGTAGGATCTGGGAAGTGATGTGGGATGAGAGTCGCCATAAAGTCTCAATAGTGACAATGAAACCAGAAGTCATATTTATAGTCTCCTGTTACGGCAGCGATAATGACAAGTTTACTGAGAGGAGCTGAGAAAGAGAATTGGCCAGTGAGAAGGAATCAGATTTACAATAACAGGAACTCAAGCATTTATTAAAATTACTGATTGAGGAAGTGAGAACGCTGAGCAGACCTCGTCTGTGGTTCTTGGAAGAAAGCTGCCAGTTACAGTAAACATAAACTACACAGGTGTGAGGGAGTAAATACTGCTACTGACACATTTTGATTGTTTTACAGTTACATGGAATCACAGTTGTGCCTTTGATGTTCAACAACATAGGTGGCAAACTGCTACAAATTGTTCTCTTGGCAGTCGAAGTAAATAAAAAGAAAATTTAAAGGGTTATGTTCTAAGCAGCTCTCTGCGCTACCAAACTTTAATTGGCACCTCGTCCTTGACAGCTACAGTAACCTTTGCTCAGAGTGAATGGTCAGTGAGTCGTGGCATTTATCTGAACTTCAGAAATGTGCATCTGCGTATGCGACATGTCGTATCTAACGATCAAAAAGTGGTGTAAACAAACCTTTTATCAGGTCAGTCCTTTGGTTTGTGGTGCTTACGTTTACTTGCTGTAGAGCAGCACAAGAACTCTGATAGACGTCTGTGACTGAAAACACCAAATGAGCTCCAACCCAAGTCTGACCAGCAGTCAAACTGAAAACACAGTCACCACCTGTGTTTTCGCCAGCCTTCAACACTGTAGGTTGCAGTTGTATAATTCACATAAGGACATGTGTTATAAACTATAGATGGTTTAAAAAATGCTTAACTAAAAATGAGGGTATTCTATCTTTCTCCATCTTTAAACATTATTGCAAGAACAGCAAAGTTAACTGATGCTGCTGACAAATATCGTGTAGCTGAAAAAATCTGCCACAAGTTCATTCTTGTGTGCTACACCGCTCCGATTACAGCACAACAAACATTTAAAGCTCTGCAGCACCAGGTAAGATTCTGAGCAAGAAATAAATGACACTGCTTCACCATTCACAGGTCATTGAAAAAGTTCTTGCATAATTTCCCTTGACAGGCAGGCTGTGTGTCTAAAATGTTTCTTAGGTGACTGTTCTCACACTCGCTTATCTAACAGTCACCTGTGTGTTTGGGTTTCTGTGGTAAAGGCAGCGCTTCCTCTAGAGCTTTTTTTAATCCGTAGTTCAACAACACTTTTTCATTTTTAGACCCTTTATTTATTTTGCGTGTCTGAAAATATGACAAAAAAACAAAAAGTAAATTTTTTACACTACCTGCCAGCACTCCTCCCAAAAAGACTTGTGTTTTCCCCAGCCGGGTAAACACAGAATGGTTATCAATCCTATAGTGTCTTTTCCATTCAGGAGTATCCATATTTATGAGAAATTACAGTCTGTTCTTCTCACACACACACACACACACGTTTCCTTCTTGGCTGGTAAGCTCATGTGTGTGTACCCGTGAGAGCTTTGGAGTCTCTGTATCACTGCACAAACCGGTTCCCTGGAAACTAGAGTCACCTGGTGAAGCAGACAATTGCAGGAAGGGAGGAGGGACAGGTCGCCCTACAAGATATTTATTCACGGTCACTTTCATGACTCCCTTAGAATGCTTTGAGAGCTGGTGAGGAGGGAGGAGAATGTGAGAAGGCAGGAAAAAGCAAAGGAGGAGTTAAAGAAATGCAATAAATCACTGGTGAAGAAAGGTGGATAAAGGAGTGACTATGATATGGAGAAGTGAGAGATAAAAATTAACCAACTGTAACAGTTCACATTTAGTCATCTGTGTTCATGCAAAATTGTTTTACAACCCATTATTTAACCCATTTTACATTATAATGAACATTTGATCCACCCTGCTAATTTCTCTAAAATGTTATTCACCTTAAACTGACTGCACGGAGCTGAACCTTAACCTAGTCTCAGTCCTGATATAAATAAGTGTAAAGAGAGGATGCTGCTGATGTAATTCTATAACGATGAGATAAAGAGATTATTATTCAAAAGAAAATCCACCAAAAAGACACAAAGAAGGCAAAGTGAGCTAAGCTTAATATGCAAGGCTGCCCTAGATTGAGATAACTGCTATTCAGATGTAACTCATAAATAATGGAATAGCGTGAATGTATTAGCATGCCAAGTCACACCCCTTTAATCGTATGTTCACGGTGGTGATAAAATGTGTGCGAGCTTTTCTTGCTTGACTCAGAGGCTAGTGAAAGAGACCAGATGCGTCTGTCTCTGTTCAATCTCGTTCTTCCATTATGGACAATTACCAGAGAGTGATGGCTTTCTGTCGCAGGCATAATAGAGAGAAAATTAAAAGGCCTTGTAAGCGTTTTGTGTATTCAAGACAACCAGATGAGACCCCGCGTCTCCAGCTCATGGAGCAAACGTGGGAAATTGACATCGTTTGTTGTCCATATAACACTTAAAAGAATAAGCTGGTTTTTCTGGTACCTGAATTTAATGCCAGTTTGTTGGGCTTTCATTTACCCCTGACACAAAGTAGCTGCAAAGTAGCTGCAGAATGCATCATCCATGTTCAGGCTTGGTTTCATCTTCGTCATTCACTGCTTTAGCAGTTACCTATTTGCAATACTGGGATTGTAAGCTGGGATTCCCTCTTGTTTTTAGCTTCTCTTTCAGCGCAGACTCTTCGGCTGCTAGATGCTATCTATGCAGATTGTTTTATATGGTGAGCAGTATCCTGTGCTGTTTTTGCTGAGATCACAGACCTGTGACAGTCTTTGTTTTCAGCTACAAAATGCCACACTTCTTGCCTCATAAAATCTGCACATCACTGTGCCTCTTTGTTTACCACCAGGCACCCTACAAAGCTCCAGCATGTGAAGATAAGCATGATGTGAACATGCTCTCCGGCCCATGTCTAATGAGGGCAGGCCAACTGGGTGACTGGATGTGCTACAATCCTCGAGCTGAATAACACTACGGACCCTTCCCCCCGTCCCATAGAGACAGGAAGAGATGGAAACTATAGGCTTCCTGTTTGCTGTTGCAGGGATAATCATTCTCTGGAGAAGAATGACTATAACAGACCATTTAAACATGTTTGCCACTCCAGATGGCAGACACTAAGTTCCACAACTGATCCAAATAGCTCTACCACAACCAGGGATACTAAGAAAAATAAAGTTAGTATCAGAGGGCTATGAGAGCACATAGCTGAGATCCAAACAGCAGTGTACGCTACAATCACTGAGACCTAAGGCAGAGCTTGACTGTTGCAGTCTGTGATAACATCAACAGGCCACAGTCTTTTCCTCTGTGTGCCTTTTTTCACAGCATCTTGCTCATCACAGTCATCTCATTTTTCTTGTCATCTCCTCCTTCATCCACATGACCTGCAGGTCTAAAAAACCCCCCAGAAAGATCACAGCTGGTGTGGCAGAAGCTCCCAAATGTGTCAATCAATAGCATGTCTGCCCGATTACCATGCCTGACCGAGTCCTGGGAGACCTGTATGTTCATAAATGAACAACAATGCTTATTTACGACAAGCTCTTCATGATGAGCCTAAATCAACTGGATCTCAAGGGTCCAACAGATTAACTGGAGATTTGTGAAAGAGGAAACCTCTGTGCAGCATATCAGCCTGGGTATAAAAAGGCAAAAATGTCTATACAATAGTGCGTACACTATTTGCGTGAGTTCAGTGTTTGTGCCACAGAGTCCTTTAACTAGTTCTTCAACTAAAGCAGCTCTGTTTAAATTCCTTGCAAATTGCTCCTTTATAAAAAAGATTTCTATTAATAACATTTATATTTACAACACTTTGGCAAAAATCTCACGACTTCCTGAACCTAATTGTAGCTCCAGATCCAAAAATAACCACATGAGAAATTCCCACAAACTGCCGCTAACGACTAAGTTGTTATTGCTCTTCTGATGCTGGCTTCAGTTCACGACGATTAAATCAGTGAAATGTGCCTGTTGTTCTTACGCACCGAGCAGCCGGAGGCGACAGACTGTACGGATGCCGCGTACAGAAGGTGAGCGACAGCGCACGGCATTTCTGGAAGGTCGTGCCAGCAACAGTTCAGAGCTTCTCACAGTAATGCAATAGACGTGATTAATTTTAATCTGGAAATAAAGTTGTGAGGTTACAATGTGACCAACTACTACTAGAATCTACTATGAAGTGTGGGACAGGCTAACGTCAGCAGTTTTCTTCTTGTTCTTTGTTAGCCAATATTTTGGGAGCAAATGTGCCCAGCTCTATAGATCTGCACATTTCTGTTCTATACTCAAACAATTTCTTCATTCGTTAAATATCTTTGTTTGTCTCAGTTTTGTTTATTCTTATGCATCAAGTAGAGAGTAAACAAGAGAGAATCATTAATGCCAAACAGATCTGACTCAATGCATAATGGATGAAGTAAATAGATGCTGAATATATTGCCAATCAAACAGCGTGGGTAAGGACTTGTGCCTCAAACAGGATCATTGTGCTCAGCATGAATGAGCCATTCTGACTGGCAGCAGAGCCCATATTCCCAGCACAGACTTGGAATGCACAGAAAACCCCTGCAATCCTGAAAGCAAGCCTGCAGCCGAGCCCAGAGCCAAGGCTGGTGCTGTAACGAGGCAGAAAGAGAAAGATAGAAAGCAATGGATAAGATTTAACGTGACTAACTTCCTCTATAACCAAGCTGACTATGCTACTAATTTTCTGTCCTCCTCTTTCTTCCTCATTCTGCACACTTCATTTTTAAACCCACAGATCAAATGAGCTTGGTCACCTGCTTTTCTGCTCGTCTGCATTCACAAGCACACAACACCTAACCTGACGCTTTGTAATAAAGTGTCAAACAGCATCAGCATTTGTGGTTTGTGTCATAAGAGTTAACAGAAGGACAAACTGCTCCACAAAAAGAGGATAAAATGACAAGGCAACCAGCTTTATTACAGCAGAGGTAGCACTGCGTCCCAAGGACAGTGACACAGCACATTTAGTTTGAGACCAGAACAAGCTTTGATCACGCAAACGTGATCAAAGTAAGCCATATTTGTGGAGTTATGCACATTTTATTCACTGTGACACGGCTCGTTATTCTCCTTCCTCTTTTTTACTTCTCTTAAAAAAAACAAACAAACAAAAATGCTCTCTTCAGTTTGGTGCTATTTTTGGTCACATTACATATCTCTTCTCTTCTTTTGACGAGTTAAGATCTAACTCTGTTTTAATGAGTCTACTATTTTAGATAACATGCAAGTAGAGGGAGAAGAGTTACGAATGAAATGAACTCCTGGATTTACTCGTTGATCTTGGAGGATCCCTCTTACTGGGACCACACAGACACACTGAAGAGCCCGGCTAGTATACAGACCAATCAATGCACAGGCTTTGACAACCCCCCCTGCCTCTTCTCGGCTGGAATGGCAGCCATGCTCAGAGTGTAGCTTGGTGTAGCCGACTTTAATAGTTTTAACTGTAAAGACAGTTAGCTAAAGAGTAACGCTGATAGCACCCAGCACACGAATGAAGAGAGGCGACTCAGGTCAAAGCATGAGTGTCATCCTTAGTCCAACAGTTTTATTGGTTAAAAAGCGATTGTGACTTTGCTGTTTTCAGGAAGTTCAGACTACATAAACTTTTATAGGATCAGAGTACAGCTGACAAGACAGGACGACTACAAATCAGAGCTGTGTTTGTACGAGGTGACACAAAATCCACACACACTGCCTCACCTATTTTCCCACAGCTCAAATGGGAAGCAGCGTTTACCGACTTTAACAGTCTTTATATGTGTGCACGTCTAAAGAGGCTCAGTTGGCACTGCCTTAAAGAAAATTAATAGTCCTCTCCAGCTAACACAGGTCATAGCACACACACACACACACACTGAGCTACAGCACCCACCAGAGCAGCATCCTGTGGTGAGAGCTCAGGTTTGTCTTTTGTGATGTGTGCTCCTCCCATTGTTAACCATCACCCTCAGCAGGCGTTTAATGTGTAAGTGTGCAGAATAGAGAACAGCATTTCATACTCTCTGTGGTTATGAACCACACACACTTTGTCTGTCAGCTCTGTGAACCTACCGCCCTATGGCTACAGTGTGAGCTCGACGGATGCGGGGTGCCGGTGCTGCTTGGTAAACCAGGGTAAAAATAAAAGAGACAGAAAGAGAGAGAGAAACACTGACCTTAGAGGAGGCTGTGTCCAGTGAGAATAAAAAGGTGCCTTGTGCCTCTCCCTGTGCTCTGTCGCTCACAGTAGCAGGTTGAGGCTGGTGTTAAACTGCTGCCTCACTGCATCGGTTGCATCCTCCCTTCCTTTTCACGGTCTCTCTCTCTCTCTCTCTCCCTCACACAGATACGTTTCAACACCCAGTCGCCCTTTAGCCTAACCTAGTCACGCTTTCCTTCTTCTTTTACCTCATGCTCCGCTCTCTCTACAGCAAATGAGGATAATAACATTCCAGCGGAGACGGAGCATATGGTGGGGAAGCGATACTCAGCCCCAGAGTAAAGCCCCCTCTGTGTGTGTGAATGTGTTTCTGCATATGCCTGTGCGTGTTGCATGGACAAGCGAACCCATTGTGTCGGGTAAGGGGAGGGCCGGTGAGAGGGGAAGAAGCCAATGGCCATACTCATCTGCCGCCCCTGCTGCTGGTGGCTATAGCACAATATAGGTGGAGAGTGTGACATGCAACAACCCCCGCCGTGAAGAAAGAGGAGGGTGGGGTTGGGTGGAAGGCGTAAGAAAGACAATCTGAAGAGAGAGCTGATGAAGAACTGATCTCTGTGTAAAGAAAGTAGAAGCCTGACATAGCGGTTTAAAAAAATCCAGCTGTCAACTTCAGCAGCTTTCAGACTGACAGCGAGACACAAAATGCAGGTTTGAGGTAAAATAAGGGTGACTCAGTTCATAGACGTGCCAAATAAATCAGTGTCTATGGTGCCTCAAGAGGAAGCGTGTTACAAAAAGATTAGAAAATTTCAGGGCTCGCAAAATTTCAAAATCTCTGGTAGCCCTTCGGGCAGACACTCTTCAGTTTTTGGTAGCCCAAAATAAATTTAAGTAGCCTGAAAAAAAAGAGGACAATTTTTTGATTGACTTAAAAAAAATTGTTAAAACACAAATTACAACAACTGTAAAAAAAAAAAAAATACAAACATCAACTCAAATATTTGGTTCTAATTGAACAGAAATTTCTATGAACTTGTAAGAACTGTGTAGAACATGGATCAGTCTGTGTCAGATCCTGAATCTGACATTTCCACTGGAGTCACGGGTAAGAGGTAAGTGGAACCAAGATCATTTGCTTTGTTTGCAAAGGCTGCTACATTGTGCCAAAGGTAGTTCACTCTTTGCAGCATCGCGCTGTTCTAAACAGCTTTTTCTTCTGCGTTTCTTCTGGACTTCTTGCTGTGCTGGGTTTATTTTTAGTAGTTTTTTTGCAATTGGCGTTTGTTCTGGGAAAGATACTGCAGACTGAGCAATAATGCATTTCTTGCATTTCTCATGGGTTCTAATGGGGTCTTTCTTAAAATTACTGGTCGCAGTAACAAAGGTGCTTGTGACTCAGAAATCGAAGGAAACTCAAGACACACCCGGCAGAACACGATGTTATTTAGCTCGTCATATTCCAGCCACAGAAATTCTTTTGTCCATGAAACCAAAAAAAGCTGCGCTTTTGTTTTTGCCTCATAGCCTGATTTGCCATCTTTTCCGTTTTGTGATCGCTTTTCTTTGGCGGTCCCTTCTTCACCGACCTGTCTTATTTGGCTCTGCAGAACTAAAATACCTGCGTAAATCCATCTGCTTTTACACAGGCACTTGCATAATGATCAGCGATTCTCTGCGCAATCAACCTGCATCACAGGTTTAAGCTTGCTGCGGGAGATTTCACTTGTCACGTTTGAATAGTAAGCTAATGAGTGATAAGACGATGTCAGAGGAACTGGTGCGCAACTAATCTGTCACTCACCAGTCAGTAGCTGCCGCTCTCTATTCACAGTTTGCGCCATCGCAAAGTGAAAGTGAAGCAAAAAACAAGCGGAAATTCAAACGCGATTTCAATATGTCACATATACTGACAGCTACGTTTGCCAAAGAATGCAAAAGCATTGACATATTCTTTCTTCCTATGACAGCCTGATGGGCAGGGCTGAGATGGATTTTGGTAGCCCGAACAGAAAAATCGCTAGCCCCGGGACGTCGGGCTAGCGATTTTGCGAGCCCTGGAAAAAGAAACGCTTTATCAAAGGCATTCATTTACACCTTTTTAGAAGCATCTAATTCTCTCCTACAGAGTGTGCAAAGACTTCATAAAACCTGTGCGACAAGCAGCGCAAAGCTTTTAAAACCAAGGTCGTTTATGGCCAGTAATACACCTTTGAGATAAACACGCACTCTGGCTATGAAAGGTCCACCTAACATTTATTATTAACTATAAATTCCCCCAATAAGTATTTTTTTGTAACCTTCTCACTTATTTATTCCCGTATCATTATCAGTGAAAGAGGGACCCAAACAGCTAAAGCCATACCTCAATGTATTTCAGTGGTTTTCATTGTCAAGTTCACTCTTAATTTTGTGACCTCTTCCAGAGTGAAACCCAACCAGAATGAAGGTAACTTTAGTTTTGGAAAGTGTCTGTTAAAAAGCCTTTTTATTACTGGTTTTTGTGGAATTTGGGTTCAAATGGAAATATGAACAGTTTTAGAGATAAAAGCTCAAAGTTAACAGTAAAGGGAAGGTTTTCATGTTTACAGTTCAGTTTCACAAAATTATCCCTCAACCTCTTGTGAAAGTTGAAATACAGGAACTAACAGTTTTTTTTTAGCTTGATGACATGCACACATTCACACAAAAAATTCTGAGCTGGTTTTATAATGCCATAAATTCAGATGTCATCACAAACCCTTAAAGAACCACGTCAGGATTAAAACCTTCAACTGAAGACCAAGAGTGAAACAAGAAAGCACTCGTGGTGAGATCAGACTCTTTCCATCGGCGTGAGGTGGGCTTCTCTCAAACAGAAGCTCGACATGTGCCAGTATTAGACATCTTGTCACTTTGATCTCAGAAGTTACAGAAAAGTGCAGAGCAGACAGATATATGTTGTGGTCGGGGTGACTGGAGTGTTGACACGTTGAGAAAGAACACTTCTCAGAATGTCATTGCTGTCTGACAAAATGACCTTCCGGCCATGCTAAGTGCTACAGACGCATGTATAGAGAACTGTTTGCTTTCACAAACAGTTTCCTCCTCGTGGCAGTTCCCCCTATTAAGAAATGTGTGATGCACACACAATATTGCACTGTGGGTGTTCAGTACCCACGGTAAAGCATTGTGCACCGTGGGCACTTTTCCGTATTTGTTGTAAGCTTCCTTCTTGTGGTGTCTTTATTAATTCAGACTGGCAGTCACGGCGCTTCTGGCCCATTTTCTGTTCTCCTGTCCGCTCCTGTTTTCATCTCCCTTTGCCCAGCGTGTCTTACTAATGTCATTTTCTTTCAGGTCTTGTATAATTTCTTCACAGCCAGTGCCTGACATGAAAACCCATTAAAATTAAATACTTTCACGTTTTCCATGAAATGACCTGCTCACGCTGTTAGTCTCAGACACACCTTGAAACACACAGTCTGGCTGGGCCTTATTAAACAACACAGTAATTAGTGACTGAAAGGCCTAGAGAGTAATAACTACATCCAGACCTCAATATACGCAGTGTGTAGTGCTTCCTGCGGATTCTGTGTGTCCGTGAACCACATTCAGGAAATCACGGTGCTACAAAGATAATTGTATTCTCGTTTACTGCCTGGCCATTTACTGCAGAAGCCATTACAGGTCAGTTTAATCAGCACTCTCACACACAAAAATACAAAGACACATGCGGATTCAAAGGCAAGGAAGTCTTTGCTCCCAATTTTAAGAACCATAAAAATTGCAAGTAAAAGCTACGGGACAGTAATGTCAAATCTAAAAAGGTACTTAATTTAAACAGCGAGTATTTTAAAACAAGCCTCATGTTTCTTCTATGATTAGCACAGACGTGCAGGACTTCAGGCCCGCAGCAGCAGCGTTTTGTGCATGATGTAGACAATCCAAGGAGAGTTATTTAAACAAAAGGGGAATAGATTTGCTTAGCTTCCGAGATCAGACGATAGATTTGCCTCTCCGTGAATCGCTACCTTATCGTGGTGGAGGGGTTTTTGTTTATACCAGGGATCCCAGGGGCTATGTTGTCTGGGGGCTTTTGCCCCCTGGTAGGGTCTCCCATGGCAAATTGGTCCTGGGTGAGGGACCAGACAAAGAGCGATTCAGAAGACCCTTATGAA